GGTTAAACTGTGTTAGAGTTTACTAGGCTACCTGACTGACACACTGCTGAGAGGCCGGACACTCACCAGGTCTGCTCTGCTGTAGCGACGGGCCACTTGTGGCGACACTGGTGAGCCGTGCTGTTGTCGGGACGCTGAAAAGACTCCAGGTGACTGATGATGGGATAGGGGATCATGATGACGAAGGCCAGCACCCAGGTAGCAGCAATCACCCGATAGGCATGGGAGCGGGTCTGCCACGCCCGCGACTTCAGAGGGTTACAGATGGCACTGTAGCGCTCAATTGCTATGGCAACCAGGCTAAATGTGGAGATGCTCACTGAGATGCCTGCAGGAAAACAAAACAAATGATTTGAAAAAGTAAGTAAACACGCGCGCTATTGTCCAGGCTCAGATATCTTTTCCTTTTTATGAATGAAAGGTTATTACCGCTCGGTGCTGAGTTTGTTGATGTGCAAGTAATATCTGTAATCACAACAAACCGCAGTGTTCTGTGGAGATGTGCTTGCAAATGAATCTAGTGTGAGGTGGGGAGGTGGGTACGGTTATCTGAATCTCGTGGTAGAGGAAATCACGTTGGCCTTGGCCACTGATGTGATCTGCCATCTCCTTACTGACAGAGCAAGACGGGAAATTACTCTTTACCTCTCTTACTCATGTCCTCAGGAGGAATACACACTGTATGTGTGTGTGTGAGAGAGAGAGAGAGTCGAGGTCCACTGTGCTGTCTATACCTGAGGAAGAAGCCATAGAGTGGGACCCCGATGAAGCAAATCAGCCAACAGCCTCTCCAGCCTGTCTACATGTCCACAGTGCATCCTGGTCGTCATTCACAGGTGCTGCACTTTATTTAATCCACCTTCACTTCCCGGTGGTTTCCCTTTACGAGGCAGCACGGCCCTCTTCACTTTATCATTTGCATTTTTTTTTTTATGCCTGAGTACAGAAGAGGATTAAAATATTTCATCAGCTCTGCTTCTCCAGGCATCTGAGTTGATTTCCAAATCATGACTCTGTAACTTCATCAGTTCACTCATCTCTCTCTCTTTGCATGTGTGAGTTGTAAGTGTGTGTTGGAGAGTAATGAAGTTCATTAAACCATTACTTAAATGAAGTAATGCACTACAATACAGAATAAGTGAAATTTAAAGTAGCTCCATCAGTCTGGTTCTGTGCACCTGACTGCATTAATCAGTAATGACACAGTAACATATGTTATCTTGTGATATTAATTTCTTACTTTTAGTTAAAGAAGGAGTTAATATTTTACGAAATATGGCTCCTCACTTTTTGCCAACAGTGTGTATGTTATATATGCAGCTAAGCAGGTAGCGAGTTAGCTTAGCTTTGCTGCGTCTCCTCTTTTCCCCCATGCAAAGCTAATCCTCCAGACACGATAATGGTATCAGTCTTCATCTAAGTGGTATCAAGAAAG